TTGTGAAATCATTAATAAAATAAAGCATCTTTAGAGGAAGCGCAGGGAGTGAATTTGATCATGTGAGAGAGCTGTTGTGTTATTAAGATCTGGCGAGACATGGTGACCTGAAATTCAACACTGAGGTATTTCTAAAAAATAACATGTCATCTCAATCATTCTGGACTCTTCCTTGTAAGCTGATAACTTGTTGAGAAAGAACTTGAAGTCCATTATTTTTAAAGGCAAAGATGTTTCCTTGTTTATCAAACTAAATGTCAGCCATAAAAACTAAAGGGAGAAAGGTCAAAGAGTTTGCGGGTTCGGCGTCACCTGTAAACTGAATATAAACTTGATCATCAGGTTGTTTCAGACACTGATAATCAGCCCAGTGTTGAGAATAAACCACGGAAACCTTGATGGGCAGTTTTGAGCTCTTGAACAAGAACAGGTAGAGAAAACAAACCTCATGAATGTGTGTCTCAGTTTGATCAACACATTCTCACAGTGGAACAGAACAACTCTGCTGCTGTCTCTGTCTTTCCTTTATCATATTGAATTACAGATACTGAGACATTCTCATAACGCCTGTTAGTCTCAAATAATTTAAAAAAGAACAATGGTGAGATTATGCTGTTTGTTATTTTTTCTAACTTTCACTGACCCGGAAGTTTGAGACCAGAGTCTCAGTTTGCACAATTGTATCACTGTGAGACGAGAAGACAACATTCAACATTCAATCTGAAACAGTTGGAGTTAAGAATAACTAAGAGGCTGTGCGTGATAAGTTGTCAAGTATTATTCAAGACTCAAAAACAGGCTTTTATCAAAAAGTTTTATTTGTATTTTTATATTTGTGTGTGACTGCGTGTGGGTGCCAGTTGCTAAATTAGCCACTAGATGGTGCAGTTGCTTTATCACAGCAATTCATGCATCTTTGTTGTTCCAGCCTGTGAAACTTAGTTTTAGGAACATGTTACAATAATTTACAGGAAGTGCAACAATTTTAATCACTCCGAAGTTATGATCAAGGACACATTTTAGTATTCTGCACCTAATAATTAGTTTAACCTTACTATGTGATTCAAGATTCCAGGTTAGTAAGTAAAATGTATCCTGAAATCACAAATAAGATGAAAATAATACAACAGAGAGATTGTTCCCTACACATGGAAACATAAAACCCTAGTTTACATAGTGTACACGTACTTCATTAACTAAATACATTTGTTACATCATTTCACCATATCAACCATCTGTTACTGTTCAGTAGATTCAACTCTCTCAACACCTCATTACTGCATGAGAGCATGAAGCCAGTTTACACATGTAAAGTGAGATTGCAGGGAAAAGTTGTTTCAGTTCTGGAGTCGTTCAGCTGTAAAATGACAAACAACAGCAGAGCTTGATATTGTAATCTATTCTGGTATTTCTGTTCAGCTGTAGCATTGTCAAAGTTTCCTTACATTGCTTAGACCCATTCCAAAATTTGTTCAATGTACGATATGCCCACACATGAATAGCTGGCTGGTTAGTTTCTCTGGAGTTAGGACTGAAATAAACCATCAGTAAACACAGGAAACAAGAAATGTCTCCTGGAGTGAATCTGTTAATTGTCTCTAGAAAGAAAGTGTGTTTTGTTGTTTTTACATTTTGTCTTCAGGTCTGAAACATGAACTGAAATAATGTCAACAGCCGCATAAATCACCGAAGGGAAGGATATTGAGTTGATTGGCTGCACATCACTTCAAACACATGATCAGACAGCGACACACACAAGCTCGCTCATGACATGGGATCCTGGACATCTGCCCCCCCCCCCTTTTAGACAAAACACTGTCCAGTGACCTGTTTTCATGCCCCCCATGGTCATGTCACTCTCTGCAACCCCGTCTGTCATGTAAACCTGTAGATGTTCTCAACACACACATTCATCAAGTCCCCACTGTACACACACACACACACACACACACA